ATCCTTCTTAAGTCCGTACATAGCAATTCAGAGGAGACAACCGGCGTTTCATTAACAGTTATGTTCAACTAGATGGCGACATTATACTGAAAACGAGAAACACTGTGTGCACATTACTGTTTTATTGCATAGTTATTGTGAAATTGATCTTAGAGGAGTAATGCGCCCGTTATCATTGTTATTATTATTATTACTATTTATTAAAAAGAGCACGAAATACATGATCTCTTACTTTCGACGTGGAACAGTGGCCTCTTTCCTTTATTATCATCGAAGAGTGTTTTGAATTGTCGTTCATGAATACGACAGGATAGAAGGTGCAAAACGAAAACAGACAGATAAATTTTAGACATTAACGGATAACTACGTATTTTCGATAGTGTACCAGCGCCCAGAAACGGTTAAGATATTTTATGATGATGTGATTGCATTTTTGTGTACAGCTTTCATGAATGTATACGATTAATGATGCAAAGAATATAGTATCCGTACTTAAATACATACTGAACGCAGAAATGCTGAAGCGGTTTTACAGAATTAGAAATTGAATTCATGGTTGCAAGCTTTCTCCAAGAGAGGTCAGTAGACAGTTTTAATGACAAAAGATTAAAGTGAAGGGTGATAGAAAAGAAGATGCAGGTGCAGATGCATATTCAACGGTGCCTTATACGAATAGTAAGAGCTCATAGATAATAATTAACTGAGATCTTTGTTTCTGCGTGCATCGTTTCCTTCTAATTCATTGGAAACCATGTCATGGCACTGAAACTGCAATATCTTTAAGCTTTCAAAGAGAGACAGGAGTTCAATATGAAAATGAAAACAACCTAAGCACAAGCAGATTTACATGCGACATACGTGAAAGGTCCAAGTCACCGTTTCTGCATTTATGCTTCTGTAATAGTTACTGCCTTCAGCGTTTTGTAACCTTACAGAGTACCACAGAGCTAAGTAAAATAAATTTGAAAAGTTGGAATGTTCTTGAACGTATCAGCCAGCTAAGGAGAAAATAGAGGGGAAGAAAAACCGAAAACTCAAATGAATAAGTATGAATAAAAGAATAATACCTTCACGACTTTATCAGCATCTTCTCTAGAAATTGTCATTTACCGTCGAAATTTCTAATCTAACATTTTGATCTGTGCAGTCGTTTGTTCATCTTCTGTATCATTCTTCTGCTGCTGTCACTTTTTCTTACCAAATTTATCACTTTTTTATTATAACTTCATCCAATAACTCCATTAATCCACATCCAACTGTTTATCCATACTGTGGAAATGAAAGCTCAAAGTTATCACTGATTAATAAATTGTCTAGTTTCTAGCATGTACAATTTAAGAGATTAGTTTCGTTAAAGAAATTGGCACAGCTCCATTGTCATTCTCTTTTGAAATCATAAATCTGTGTATTTCAAAAGAGGTCCTTACCCTATTTTCATAGAGAACGTAAAAACTAGCCGATTAAAGTATAAGCAAAGGACTAGACTCCTCTTTATCCCTGTGATGGTTTTCTCATTCGAGTTCACCCGTCAGTGTTATAGACGAAATCGCGCGACATGTGGAAAGAGATGGTTTTGTTGTACCGACTGAGTGGACAGTCAATGCAGTTCCTTCGAAGTGGCGAACCGATCATCACGAAACAGAAGAGACAGGCTGGCGGCTACGGAGGAGGGATGCAAGGGCCTCTGCCCGGACCAGAAATGATGGGACCACAGCCACCAATGGAAATTCCTCAAATGGGTGGCCAGAATTTCATGGCCAGCTGTAAGTGGCATGTTTCTTGAAGGTTGCTTTGGCGAATGAAGTTACGATAAACTGACGTTTCAGGTTGTGCGTGTCAACAGGGACCTCCAGGCCCACCAGGGCCTGCAGGCCGTGATGGAAGACCCGGAACACCAGGTCGTCCCGGTATGTTAAACGTTTATTTTGGGTTAATACTTAAATCATTCCTTTTAATTTAAGGAAATGCTGGACCTCCTGGAAGAGACGGTGATTCGATGCCTCTACCTCCACCGAAAGTATTTCAGTTGCCATTTTTTCGTTTTTTCTAATTGATCAAATTTAGCCCCCTTGCCAAAAATGCCCACCTGGACCTCAAGGACCGCAAGGACCTCCTGGTCCTAGAGGTCTGCCAGGTTTGCAGGGCGAGCCGGGAGAGCATGGCAGAGACGGCGGCCCTGGCCGATCAGGACCCTCAGGTAAAACTAAAGCTAATGAACTTTGTCGTTTTCAATCGAAAATTTCAAGGAGTCCGTGGACCACCAGGACCTCCAGGAGAGCCTGGAGAAAAGGGCCCCCCTGGACCGCCAGGTATTTCATTCGTGCATTTTTATTTTTATGTTATTCATGAAAATACTTTAGGCAGGATAATTAGCGCTGCCCCACCGGGACCACGTGGGCCACCAGGGCAAATGGGTAAACAGTACACGTACAGTGATGTATAAAATTAGCTAAACTTGATTCGTTATAGGACCAGAAGGTCCACTTGGACCACCGGGTCGAGATGGAATTCCTGGTCAACCGGGACCTCCTGG